ACACCAAAACCCATTTTTATATTAAAGAGGTGTGGAATCATCTCTAACCCTATTCTCTTTCCTACACCATTTTGATATAAACTAGAAAAGATTTTCCGGCGTTGCCGGGATCGGAAGATATTGATTTGTAAAGTAAAGTGGCATGTTGAATTGCATTGAGATAATCCAGTAAAGGAAGATAAACAATGTCATCTAATTACATAAGTAAAGAAATCTAAGTCATTATTTCTTGCAATAAATTAGGAAAATAAAGAAATAGTCTCACAAACTGAACTTTATTGTCATGTATGGCAGCGGTAGGAAAACCATTCCGGAAAATATAGACCTTTATTTTTTGTCAGTTAATGTGAGGGTAATTTGGTCTTTTAAGGTAGTAGAGACTGAATTTGTGACGACGGGTAAACCATATGGATCATTTATGTAATTTTAGCGGTGGTGGTGATGGCAGCTGGTGAGTGGCTTTATGGTATTGGGTGGGTATTTTCTTATAAATAAAACATTAATTTATAACCAAAAAGAGAAATATAAATTAATAAAAAAAATAGGATTAGGAGTAAAAGAGTGATTTCGGTTTCTATTGTTGTCTCAATGTGTTATGGTAAACCACAGGGACCAATCGTTTATTTTTTTCTAACACAATAATAATGATGATGATGATGATGATGATGATGATGATGATGATGATGATGATGATGATAATAATAATAATAATAATAATAATAATAATAATAATAATAATAAGGGACCATTTCTACCAAAAGACCAAATACTAATAATATATAACAAAAGGCAAGGGTTATGAAAAATTCAAACGGAGAGTGAAAGGGTTGTTTGTGAACAAAAACATAAAGGTGAATGGTCAATGTTGTAATAGTTTTTAAAACCAACATAAGTTGGAGGACCAAAAGTGACAAAAATTGTCAAAAAAAAAAAAAGAGGAGCAAACATATATAACTTTAAGGACCAATCTTGCCAAACACTTCAATAATAATAAATAATAATAATAATAATAATAATAATAATAATAATAATAATAATAATAATAATAATAATAATAAAGGACCATTTCTGCCAAAATACTAAATACTAATAATATGTAACAAAAGGCGAGGGTTATGAAAAATTCAAACGAAAGTGAAAGGGTTGTTTGTGAACAAAAACATAAAGGTGAATGGTCAATGTTGTAAGTCGTTTTTTAAAACCAATATAAGTTGGAGGATCAAAAGTGGCAAAAAAAAAAAAAAAAAAAAAAAAAAAAGAAGCAACATACCTAACCTTAGGAACCAATCTTGTTAAATACTTAGACAGTTTACTATTCCTACAATATATATTTAGCTAGTTGCGTCCTTTACATAAAAATATATTCTTTTAATGTATTACTCTACTTAACCATTTAGCATACAGTGTACTAGTAGCCACCTCCTGGTCTTTCATACATAATAGCATACAGTGTGCCAGGATCCACCTCCTGGTCTTTCACACATAATAGTATACAGTGTGCCAGGAGCCACCTCCTGGTCTTTCATACATAATGTCTAGGGCTAACCCCCGGGTCTTCTTACCATACATAATAACATAGAGAGTACCAGGCGCCACCTCATGGTCTTTCATACGTAGTGCCTATAGCTAAATCATGGGTCTTCCTATCATACATAAACCAAATGGGCTGACATTGGTGCCTTCGACTCATACAATAGTGACTACTACTGGTAATTCTCGAACTGCTGATCCTTCAGCTCCCCAAACTATCAATACCAAAATAACACTTAGACCATATACCATCAAAGGTCAAGCTAGGCCAACTCTGGACAAGGTGAAAGTCAACGCATCAGGTTGAATCAACTTGCCGAGTTGCTTCACCAACTCGTCGAGTTCCAAAACATAGAATCCTAAATTCACGACCCAGCTCGTCGAGTCAACCCTTGACTCGTTGAGCTTCCTGGTTACTCATGGTCGCGACTCATCCCATCAACTCGTCGAGTCACTCCTCAGACTCGTCGAGTTCAACCATACAGAATCGGGACAATCCACTTGGACTCGTCGAGTCCCTTAGTCTAATAAGCTAACTTAATGGGTTAGGCCCCTATACTTCAGATCCCAACTCCAAACTACACCCTGGATATGGCCTTAGAAAGGGAAAGTTTCCAACTTTACCCGATAATACCATTGCTTGAAGGATTTCACTCAACCCCTAACTTTGAAGAACCTAGATCTTGGTCCACAATTCACCGATACACCATACTAATGCATCCAACCATAGATCTAGACCCAAACATCTCATAACCAAGTAAAGCTCCCGCTTTTTTCCCTTCATACATGGCCCTTTGAGCTAAAAGGGACAAAATAACACTCTAATGCTTGCATGGGGGACTCCTATGGCATAAAGCTTGCACCTTTATGCCATAATAACCCTTAATGGTTCTAGATCTGAAAACATAAGCCTTTGGGACATCCATCACTCACATGCTAGGGTTCTTGGACCAAAAACCCTCAAAAGTGACAAAGAAATCTAAGTGCATAATGATCAAGGTTGGAACTTTCTTACCAGAAAATGATGAAGAAATCAAGAGGTTTTTGGATCTGCTAGTCTCTTCTTGAACCCCCAAAGTCTCCCCTTCTTCTTTAAGCTTCAAATCACTCAACAACACTCATAAATGGCTCCTAAGCTCATGAAAGGCAATAGGGTTTGGGCAGTAGGGGATGAGAATGGGGTAGAAAGATGGAGAACATGTGACATCCCCCATTTTCAGGGTCAGAAAAGACCGATTTTGTTTATGCTCTATAAAAATCAGAGTATCTCTTTTAAAAACGTTGCGGAATTTGTTCCCAGAAAAATATGATAATTTCATTATCAAAGCATTTCCGAAGAAATATATTTTTATTCATTTTAAAGCATTTGGGATGTCTTCATCAATATAGAAACATAAGCATAAACAGAACGTACATTCATTTACACTAGTGATCTATATCTTCTTAATCTCTCAGTGTAATGTAACTTCACCTCGTCACCTGTGATACAAGTAAATTGAGTGGGTCAGGTTGGGAAACCTGGTGAGTACATAGGGTTTTCAACCCAAAATAATATAATTATTATGTTTAATCATCAAACAATTAACCTAATTACCCATCCCCATTATCTTCTTTATTCCTAAGTACCTTCCCTAATAGGGTTATATATATATATATATATATATATATATATATATATATATATATATATATATATATATATATATATATATATATATATATCATTTTGTACATATTTAGTCCTTAATATTTTTTTTTTGTTTCAAAATAAGTCAATTTTGTTTTTATACTTATTTAGTATTTATAAATAATTTCTTTAGGTTTTCTCGCGACATCTTATGTAGAACAATTATTTATGAAATGTGTGGGGTTGTTGATGTTTATGTGTAACGTCTTATTTTCACAACAAAAATTTTCATTTTTAAATAAGGAAAAACTTCCTAATTATAAATCAATTATTATCGAAAATCAGAGTAATATAAGAAACGTGGAATCCTCAATATTGTTGATGAATGTGTACTGCCATGCCTTCGCATTTTCATGATCAATGATAGAACCCGAAAACATAAACAACTGGGTAAACATAAAGTTTAGTGAGTTTTCCCCAGAATACGTGATACAACAAACATATTATCATGCATATCGGGCCCATGCTCATCAGATTGGAATACCTTGGCTCAATCAGTCATTGGACTAGAATGCCAACATCCAACAGGTCTAACGAGTCATCAGACTGGAATACTTAGGGTTTATCAACATGTCGCCTTAACTCAACCGCTCTTCTTGAGCATCTGTGCTTATGGCTTATAGCTGGCCCGCACTACAACATATAACAAGCCCACCTCAACCTATCCCACCACCATATGTGTAACACTCGTAATCCATGAGGCAAGCTAAAGGAAGAAAAACCCTAAGAAAAGAAGTCTACTCGCCGAGTACATGGAGGGTGACTTGACGAGTAGAAGCAAGATAAGGACACATGATTTAGTAACCTACTCGGCGAGTTGGAGGACCAACTCGGCGAGTGTTGGGTTTGGAAAAACCTAAATTCGGGCTTTTCCCCCCTATTTAAGCATCTTATTCTGTAACGTCCGTAGATCCGAGCTAGTCAATTTAGAGATAATAGGGGTCGAAAACGACTTTTCGACAAAAGATTATTTAGAATAAATAATCTTAACCAAGTTGTAGAATATGTCTCAATGGTTTCGTACATATAAAGAACGCCGAAATCCGAGTTATAACGAAGAAGTTATGGCTCGTCGAAGTTTTTCGACAAAACCGACACGGCACTGAGAGACGTAAATAGTGAATTTAATATAGAGGAATTTTTAGCCTTAGTGATCTAAAAAAAGTTGTAGTATATGTTAAACCGACAACATACAAAAAAAGAACGCCCAAATTTGACTTCGTATAAGGAAGTTATGATTTTTCTAAGATTTGGCATAACAGTGCACGACCCGAAACTCGAATTTTAGTTCGAGCAGTTTTTGGCCTACGCGACCTAAATGAGAGTTGAATATCTCATTAATAGGAACTCAACGATAAAAAGAAAGACGAAAACGGAGTTCGTACATTTCGGTTAACTTAAAATAACCGATCATAATGACTGAATGTATACAGCTTAACAAGTTGAAAGGGTAAATATAAACAAAAATAAAAAACTCAATAGCCAAATATATAAAAATCAAAAAATATATTTATCTCTTTAAAAAATTAGAATGAGAAAAGTTCTTGGTTCCAAATCTATATTGATCCACGGCCAACAAAAAAACCACAAGACAAAAACCAAAGGTTAAACCAAAGACACCGAAATTTGCATGCTAAACACATTTCTAAATTCAAAAAACAAAAAAAAAACGTAACAAATTTGCATATTCAACATCACTCCAAAATGTGGAAATGAACAACCTTAAAACATACATATCGAATTACACAAAACCCAACCACAAATATTTACCAAATCTATAAATTTTTTTACACAATGTGATGATTGCATCAATCAAAAAAAAAAAAAAAAAAAGTTTTTCAAAGCACCCAATTGTTTTATTAATTGCAACAACCCCCTCCTTGAGAAGTGGACCCATCTCTTCCTCCTGAAGGCCCAGGAATGCCACCATATCCAACTTTAATACCATAAGACTGTCACAAAACAACAATTTATATCATTAGCTTATCCATTCCTTTTCTTTTATTTAAAATTCGATTAACTTAATTTCTTATAGATGTAGCAACACTTGCCTCATTTGATACATCAAAAACCCCATCTTGAATCTTCTTATAAATTGTTCCAGCTGTGTTTATGAATGCCTGAAACAGATTTATCAACATAAGAGACTGATTACATACAAATTATACAATACATTGGTCTTGAAAAGAAATGTTGGTTTACCTCTTCAACATTCTGAGCAGTTTTTGCAGAAGCTTCCATGAAAATTAAACCATGTTCTTTTGCAAACTGTTCACCTTCTTCTGTGCTAACAGCTCTTCTATGTGCAAGATCACATTTGTTACCAATAAGCATAATTGTCATGTTTGCATTTGCATGTTGTCTAGCATCCTCCAACCAGCTAGCAAGATGATTAAAAGTTTCCCTCCTAAAATCCATATCAACATAATTGAAACACATTTTCAGATCAATCAGAGTAAAATATCATAAACAAAAATTACAAGAGATTTAGACCTGGTGATGTCATAAACAAGAAGGGCACCAGCAGCACCTCTGTAGTAAGATCTTGTGATTGATCTAAATGATTCTTGACCAGCCTTAGAAATAGATAAAGAAAAAAAGAAGACATTTTTTAGGATTTATTGTTATAATATTTGTAACAAGGAAGGGAGAAAGGTGTAGAAGAAAAGAAGGAAACAAACTGTGTCCCAGATTTGGAGCTTTATTGGTTTGTTGTCAATGGTGATCATTCTGGCTCCAAATTCAACACCAATTGTTAAGTCATGAACAGGTTGGAAACGTTTGTCTGTGAACTGAAGAAGAAGGCAAGATTTTCCAACACCTGAAGAATGATTTGTCAGCACATAAAGTTTTAGTGGTTAATGATATTCAGTTTTATGAAATGGTGATCCAAACATGGAGTGATCATTTAGTGAAACAGGTGAGAATATATATGATATATGCATTGCTAATTAATAAACACTACAAGAAATAATTAGTTTAAACATGAAATTCAGAATGGAATGAAGCAACAAAACTCCAACAGAAGGAATTAAGAGAAATAGGGTTTCTGAGATCAAATACTACAATCCCTTGGATCTGAATGCATCAAGCACAATCATATGAATAAACGATAAAGTAAGTAAATTGTCTACACGATCCCAATCCCCAATTATTTGTAAAATTCCAAGATGATCATTAGTTTCAAGTAACAAAAACAGGTGGATTGCTGATGCCCTAGACTAGATGTCCCATCGTCAATATTATTATACAGCTTCGTTGTACATTAAGTCCAGATTGAAAGAAATTATTGTTCAATATTCAAATTCCTTGCTTATACCCAAAACTAATCGTGTTCAGGTTGAGATTACTTAATTTGCAAGTTTTAAGGGCAAACATAACATTCGAGCACAACTAAGTAAATCATAAGAAGGAAATCAAGTAGATTCCTTAATTTAGACATACAAATTCAAAAACAAAACTGAAACTAAGAAAAAAGAAAAACGATTGCCCTATCATTCTCATACCATCTGCTTGAAAATTCCACAAAATAACTCGATCAACACAAAATTCGATACAGATATTGCAACAACTATCAATATTAACCACAGATGAAATAATTTAAGTTCGTTACCAGTATCTCCGATGATGATGTACTTGAAGAGGTAAGCGTAAGACATGGCTAATCAGATCTTCCGGAATTTTCAATCAAAGAGAGTAGAAATACCAAATCGAAACAAGTATAGCTGAAGAATGATTTCAATTAAGAGAATCAGCGATGAAGAAAAGTTGAACGAAGAAGAGGATTTTGTCTAGAAGAAGCAATCTCGAGAGTTTGCAAAACGTATTATTCGTGGAGGTTCGAGAGAAAAAGGAAAGATGAAAGAAATAGTGTGCGCGTAGCTGTCAACGAAGCACCGTCACGTTACGGGGTACCCCTTTATTAATTGTTTATAAAACAGTTTAGATCGTCGACATACTTTTCTAGTTTCTACAGTATATTAGTATATTAGTATTTGGTAAAAACTGAAATAGTCAGATAACTATTTTTTCTGTTCAAATTTTGTCTTTTATTATTATTATTTTTTGTTTGACATATTTTAATCATTAAACTCCACAGTTTTATCTTAAATTCATGGGTAAATTACACCATTCGTCCCTTATGCATGTGTCCAAAAGCATGTTTAGTCCCTATTTTTAAATTTTAACTCGAACCGTCCCTCGTTTGGTTAAATATTGCACATGTCATCCCTCTTTAGTTTAAATTTGCATGCTTTATCCCTTGTGAGACATGAAATGACTATTCTACCCTTTTTTAATTATTTTTTCATTTATTTTATTTTTCTTACAATTATTTGTAAAATACAAAATAAATAAAAAAACCCCACCCACCCTCTTTCCTCTAAATTCTGACACACATTAGAGTCGTCGAATCTACTATAACCACAACCACCGGAATCTGATGCAACCACCACCATCGGAATCTGATACTGCCATCACCAGCGGAAACACCAGAAGTAACTCATGTCTCGATCCAAGAACAATACACCGACAATGAGTAGTCTAACCCTCCACCATCGACACCACCTAGGGTTTCAAACCTTCACCTTCATCATCTCATTTCTAAGATCTCCCGGTGCCACCAAGAGCACCACTGGACTGGAGGCGCCACGAAGGAAGCATAACTATGTTCTTCGGGGGATTCGTTGACATGAAAAGACGTCAGTGACGGTGCTTGTATCACTCACGATGGTGGTTGTTATATCGATGCAAAGAAAGAGGGGGTGAAAAAGAGGGTTTGCCTGATTTTAAAGAAATAGAGGTGGAGCAAGGGTTTCGAACTGAGATGGAGGCAGAAAATAGCACTTTTGTTCTTCCATTTTGCTCCAACGATGGTAGCTCCGACGACCTAGATTCAACAGCTCCAAAACTGCCACCATCAACTCTTCCGCCTGCCAAAAATAAAAACGACCCACCATGTAGATTCAGCAGCTCCAAGACGCCACCATCTACTCCTCCAATGAATCCACCCATATCCTCCCCCTCCCTCCTTCCCCAACTTTCAAGTCACCATCTCCTCCCATAAACCCAACGACAGAATCAGTGTACTAGGGCCACAAGGACAACAACGTCTGGTTGCTATTTGTGTATGGAACCAACATCCCGGTGCTTCCTTTTTGCTCCATCAATGGTGGCTCCGGTGATCTAGATCCAACAGATCCAAAGAAAAAGATAAGAAAGATGAAGACTACTGGGTAGAAGGGATATGGGGAAACGGGAGGCAGGAGGGGTGGTGTGTTTGATGGAGATATATTTTTTTTCTTTTTTTTTTTAATTAAAATAAGATAAATAAACAAAAGAAAACTAAAAAAGAAATTATCAAGGGCAAATTAGTCTTTTTATGTTCAGAGGGACTAAACGCGCAAGAAAAAACAAACATAAGGAAAGTCCGAGTTAATTTTTCAAAATAGGGACTAAACATGCTTTTGTGCATATGCACGAGGGACGGATGGTGTAATTTATCCTAAATTCATCTTTTGTCGATCTAAAAAATAGCCCTTAACATGATGTGCCTTTCCACTTCATCACATGTGATAATGATATGATTAGGTTTAAATATAAATATAAATGATATCTATTATGTAACTGTATAACTAAATTCTGGTAATTTGATTAATAAAAAATAAAATCGTTCTTAAAAAAATACGATTGTATTTATTATTAGTAATCTTTTTAAAAATTCAAAATTCAAATTCGTGGTAGGGATAATGTAGACATTTTGTTTATCCTTATTTTAGGCAACAAATATAATCACATCAGTTTTTTAAAATTAATTATTATATTTTTTTGCAAAAAAATACAAACAATCTTAAAGAAATGTTTTTTTTTTAAATTACATATAGTTTTCCAAAAAAAAAAGTCATATTTTTTCATGAATGAAAACATATTCTTTTAGATATATGTAATTTAAAAAAAAAAAAAACATTTCTAAAGAAAGATCAACTCTATATACACAATTAGGTCGATCTAAAGGGATTCAAGGAGTGTCTATGAATAGGGTCTACTAAGTCATAAAATTCAATATTTTTTTAGCATATATATTAAATTAGGTTGAGTTTAGACCCAAATTTGAATTAGGTTAATATGTTATCTACATTTCTTTCGTCTCAAGAGTCAACACACGTATCATCTTTCATCAACCATCATTATTAGAGCAAGAAATTAGATTGAAATTTGGGGAAAAGAAAATAAACTCTTCAATTCTAATTATGGATAATGAATCGTCTCCAACTATCACAATCTTTGTATAAAATTAGTTGATTACAAGGTTGTGATTTCTTTCTTCCTCTTTCTTGAAAATTAGAACAAGCTAACAGGTTTCAATTTCTTTTTTCTTCCTTCTCGAAAATCAGAAGCAACAGTCTTGTAAACTTCTTGAAATCTTACAATCGTTCGTATATAGAAAAGTTTCTAAAAAGTTAGATTTTCGGTTGTTGCAATTTTGAAGTTTTAAGGTACAAGATAATTGATTGTTTTTTGTTTTCAATTTTGATTAATTGATTTGTTTTTTCAATCTTCCTTCTCGAAAATCAAAAACATAATTTGGTTAGTTTTTTGTTTAATGTTGTAGATTTTTCAAACAAATCAACTTCCAAAATCAGAAGGGACACACAAATCAACTTCGAAAAATCAGGATCATGAAATAAAATTTTGACTTTTCAAGGTAAAAGCAAATCCGATTTTTTTTTTTTATTTATTGTTTTTGTTTATGATTTGTAATTCTGAATTCTGACTTATTTCTATTTCTCGTAAGATTCTCGAAAATCAGATATTAGAACTACAGTTTCGAAGTCATAAGGTAATCAGAATCAACAATCTTATTTGTTTTTTTTTTTTTTCAATTCCTTCTCAAAAATCAGAAGCATAACTTAGCTTGTTTTTTGGTTTTTGTTCAAAGTTGCGGATTTTCCCCCAAAGCAACTTCAAAAATTAGAAGGGAGATACAAATCAACTTCGAAAATTAGGAACGAGAAATACATTTCTAATTTTTCAAGGTAAAAGCAAATTAGATTCGTTGTTTTTTTCATTATTATTTTTGTTTATGAATAAGATTTGTAATTCTGAATTCTAATATGTTTCTTATTTCTATTTCTCATAAGCTTCTCAAAAATCTGATTATTGAAAAGGCATACAAATTAGTTTCGAAAATAAGAAAGACCAAAGTTATTAGGGAATTACTTTTTGGTTTTTTAAAGCACACGAAAATCAGATTCTATTTTATTCTTTTTTCTTTTTTTTCTGATTTGAATTTATGTTAATGTAATATAATTTGCTAATTTCATTTACGTTTTTCTATTACAATTTTGTTATACTTTACTACTTGAGTTTAAGAATCAAGAACCAAGAAGAAACCCCCAAATCGAAAATAAGGTTGTTTCTTTCCTTTCTCTAATTTAGGAACAATCAAATATCTATGTAAATGACCTATATGTTGAGTTAAAATTACTTTTACATCTTTTACATTAGGAAAAAATGAAATCAACTGATATTATAAAGCTTTTAAAACGAGTTGATTGTTTTCTTAATACATTTATTATATATAGAATCATGTTTACTATTCCTGTTAAGGTTGCATCTGCAAAAATAAGTTTTTTTTTTTTTTTTTAATTGAAGATTTTAAAGTCCTACTTTAATTATATAATATATATTGATTAAAGTATAGCTAAAAACCATGGAGGGGCCGAGTATCATATTCCCCTATCTGCCCCATCCCCACTTTATGTTGCATGTATGCTAAACATTATGTATTAATGTCACATATTACAAATAGATAATATGTACATATTTAATGAGAAGATATCTTGCATCTATTGAAAAGGAAACTGATAATACATAATTCTATTTTTTAGGATTAATTTATACTTCTTACATCCATGATCTATTATAATTTGGTATGATTTGTAAACTATGAAAAAATAGTTATCAGTAATGTTTTCCTAAACTAAACTTTGAATGATTAGCATTAGGAGTATGTTAGGGAAGACGAACGCATATAGAAATTAATGATATACTTGTTTTTTTCTAGTTTTTGGTATTATTAATTCTCTATTTTCTAATTTTTTGGTTATTAAACAATGTAATAATTAATCATTTACTTGCATTTTATCTAGTTAATAGTAAATACTAATACTAAATAGTAATATATTAAGCGATTTAAGAAGTTGATGTTAGAAATTAATAGTCTTATTCTAATACTTAGTTATTAAACTATATACAGACTAATCATATTCCTTTTTCTTCATCGGTACACTAGTTGCATTAATAAATAAATTACTACATTTTTTCATCGGTAAGAAAAAATAACTTTTGTAATATTAAAAAGGGCAAATATACTATTGAGGATGGGCCGGGGTTAGACAGGGAGGCCCAATTTTCAAAGGGAGGAGAATAGATTCCCACACACGATAGGAGGATGATGAGGGTAGGGATGAGATATAAGATTCGAGGATGGGGATGTGGATGTGAAACCCAACCCATCCCCGACCTGTTTCCATCCCTAATAAACACATTAAAAGTATAATGTATAAGTAATAGAACATTCCATAAAATCTCACTTTGGTTACTTCGAAAAAATGTGAAATTGTATCTGATCCATGGAAACACATATTATTTCTTTGTGAGTCGTTAGTGAAGCAAACGTGGTTAACCGACATACTAGTATGGGGCTATAAAGTTGAAATGATGGTCATACTCAAAATTTATGGTTGTTAATGTAGTGTGTATGGTTAATCGGCATATTAATGTGAGATTATAAACACATCGAGGGTCTCGTGCAGGTTTGCATTGTTATTCACATCTTATTTGTGATCAACGGTATCCCAATCACAAATCAAAAGCATAGTCCGAGATTAACAAGCCATTGATAGTTCAATGAATC